GCACATCTTACACTGTAACCTAGGACAGTAACCTTTCTGTAAAGATGCAGAAGCTGACTCTACAAACACATATTAAAGTCAGTCTTGCTTTATCATTGTCATGATCAGGCTTCCACAATCCCAAATCCACAGTTTATTAATATGATCACAGAGCTGACGTTACAGGGCTTTTGACTCTTCAGTGGGTTTCAAAAATTTGCTTATTGGAAAAGAAGTAGAATATTTCCTCCCTGTGGGCAATTCCCAGCAAATATACATATTAAGTTTGATATAATTTCACTTAGAAAAAAGTTTTAAAAGTTTAAACCACAGCATTTTGTTGTGCTGTAGAAGGAGTTTTTAAGAAAAACATTCAGTAGTGTGGTTATGTAACTGAGTGGCATCCCAAATTAATGCTGCCAAAGGTGCCTTTCCAAAAGTTTATTAGAACAGCTCTAGGGCTTAAAGGCCAAACTGCCTCCACCGATTTCAGAAAACACTCCCAAAGATTTAGTCCTGCAGTCACCATATATAATTTGAGTGAGAAAACAAACTTTAACCTTTTTTTTTTTCAGTAGCATTAATTCTATCAAAGGCAGTTTTGTTTTTTTGCAGATGGAATGTGGGGGTCTGATGAGTTGTATCTCAGTGTTATAACCATTTACTACACTGAGATTACTAATTATTTACAGGGTGCAAGGCAGACTAACATTGTTATTCTAGGGTCAAAGGCCCTCTTGTGTCAAATGCTGACACAAGTCACCTTTTTTTGTGTGACTTACAGTTCGGCAACCTGTTAACCAAACCTAACCATACAAAATGGAACCATAGGATGTCATTACTTTGAAATGGCTGTCTCAGTTTTGCCAACAGTTAGTCACACTGCTGCAGATGTGGGTTGTTCCTCTTTATTTTACCGTCAGACTTTACTCATAGAGATCCCTGTCCATGTGAGAAATGCTCTCAGTTATTACCAGTTACATCACTTTCAGAGCAATCCACAAAACTCTCTTGGGAAGAACACCACAGTATGTCCTTTTTTGTTGGTTTTGCCTTGTTTTTCAGGGTTTTTTGTATTGTTTCTTAAAGGAAACTTATAGAAGGAGAAGAACAAATAAGAATTTCCTTGGAACAGATCTTCACAGATTACAGAAAGGGCCATTGGCACTTGAATTTGAAGGAATCTTCCAACTGCAGTATGGATAAGTTCCTCTAAACCAGTATTTATCAAACATAACGCACAAATGAAAAAGAATTAAACAAGAGTTAAAATTAAATTAATTTCATCAGTTCTATCTTGGTTTTTCGTTCTGCAGACTCTTACCATCAGCAGTCACCCCAGTGTTACTGAGCCTGAAGAGCTCAACTTGGTATATATGCCAAATAGTCTGAATTTATTCCTTAGAGCCCCCTTTGCCTCCCTAAAGAGAGGTCTGTATTCTTCCTTCTCCAGTCTTCTGAAACTCCACCTCTCCACCCTGGGCTCGCAAAGACAATTACTAATGGTTCAGAGATTGCTTCTGCTAGCTTTTAAGTATTTTAGATAAATTTCATTGGTGGTATACTGACTTGACTATATCTAACTTACCTCTATTGCTTTTTCACCTGTTCTTGTCCTGTTCTGGCCTATGTCTCACTCCTTCACAATTCCCAACTGTTAGATTTAATTATGTTAGCAAGCTGTTCACAATTACCATTTCTTGTGAAAACTGAAGCAAAACAAGAAGGTTTTGTTTTGGTTTGTTTTTTTCCTGTATTATACATTTTTATTCACCTTTAAGTAAGGGAGAAATACAGAAGTGTAAAACTTCTGTTGAATTTATACGAATACTTCAGCAGAAGCTACATATGTGGCATTTTGTGCCACTCTCTGAAAAGCGCAGTCTTTCTTTTTTCTTATCCGTAGGTTGGTCTACAAATGGTTCCTCCTGATCTATAAACTAAGTTATGCAATTGGAATTGTGGGTTATCTAGCCATAATGTTTACCATGTTTGCATTTAATTTATTCTTTAGGTAGGTATCTCCAGGTAAAATTGCAACTGGTAACTATTATGATTTCCTATTTGATAGATTTTACTTTGTTTGCAGGGAAACTGTTCCAGGCTGGTCTCTTCACCGCTCACCTCAACATACGAAACCCCTTTTACATTGTGTAGCTGTAGGTTCTCTTACTTCTTGAATTTCATTATTGCGTAGTTGGTGTGAAGTTTGATATTTAGCCATTTTACAACTTGTGTTTGTGGTGTGAAGCGATGAGGGAAAAAACCTTAAACTTCATACAGTCACCGTGTTCACTCATTTAATCCCCTAATTTAACTGCTGAGTTAATCCTCAATATGGAAATAACCTTCATTTATATACCTGAAGGAGATGAGACATGAAAAGACTTGACATAAAGGATAAAAATAAATAAGCACATTCATATCAAAACCACATGCTAATTCTTTCTGATAATTATGATTTCCTGCTCTACCAGGCTATAATGTTGCTAGGGCATTCTCCTTTTTTTATTTTGACTATTCCCAAAGACTATACTGTATGCCCAGATGATTCTCAACATAACTTCTTAATCCAACTAGAATTTTTGCCTGGGTAGAATATGAATTTTCTTTATGTTTGTCCAGGATTTCTGTCTGACTAGCAGCCCAGTCAGAACTACTGTGCTGGACTCTGAGGCACTGTCTGTCCAGAAATTCCAGGGATTCCTCAAGAGCCTGTAGATCAACTACATAATCCATCTGCTGTAGGTCCAACACTTCTTGGAGTATTGGAGATACTGCACATACGTAAATCAGCTGTTCCTTTAAGTGTCAGATTTATTGCCCAGACATTGTACAGTTGATTAACCCAAAAGTATGTAGCTCTGATGGAAAACTCTTGGCAGAAACTTAACAATCTTGTGTTACCAATACTGTTAAGCTTTATTGTCTTGAGGTATTTTATTTACCCAGCTAAATTCCCCTACCAGTGTATTTTAAAGATATGATGACAAAAATAGTTAGCTCTGTTTTAAAGGTTCTTACTTTGTGCCCTGTTGCAGCAGAAATGACAAGTCATGAGACGCTTCAGTCTCACGAGTATTTGGTAGCCAGGTTTCAGACTCCCAAGACCTGTAACATGTACAGTCTCAAAGAGATGACGAGAGATGTTAATGTTTTTTAAAACTCTGTTGGGTTGAGGCATTTTGGGGGTAGGGCATTAAATACCTCTAGCTGCAATTTAACAAAGATTTTATTCTGAGGAATTTATATTCAGGAGGGCAGTTGGCTGTTTCAGCTACAAAAACTTTACATTTCTTTGACTAGCATCTTACACCTTATTGAGATTTGACTGATCTTGTTGCTTCTGCAAAACAATGAAATAGACGTAATCATTCTGTATAATAAGACTCTAAGCAAAGTCCCTTTCTATAAGAAAATGTGTCAGGTTGGCCTTCCTATTACAGAGCTGAGTAGCTGTGGCTCCAAAAGCAGTTCATAGCCTACTTTCAACATTGCTTGCTGTCAAGTATGAGGGTGCGTGCTGCTGCAAAAGAAAATGAAACTAAACCTGCAGTTTAAAGGAAGCAGGAACAAACTGGAGTAAAAATCTCCTTGATTTTTACTTTTTCTGGTGTTTTGGTCAAGAGTAGACTCATCCAAGTACTCTTTTGTGGTTTTATGACACAATCGAGTCTGACAAGTCCACGGATTTTACTGTGACTTTTTTTTTTTTTTTATGGACTGTACTATAGAGTGATAGGAAGAGACATCGCCAAGCTTTGTTCTGACTATATGGCTCCCACCATTGGTGTAAGTGCCAGGGATCATCATCCTGAATACCTCTTGCAAGGACTGAAGCGAGCTCTTGAATCTCCCGTGCCCCTGATTTTGTGATAGTCTTGCAATAAACTAACCTCACTTTT